TGGTACATGCTTCCAGAGCACATGTCCTTTTCCTCCGGTTGGCGACCCGGCGGTTCGGCTGGTGTGTCCCCCCTTCTTAGGACCTGGTCGCTCGGTTCTCCGGTCTCAGTTTCCAGTTCCAAATTTAGTCTTCCTGTAGCACTGTCAAAGATCGCTGCTACTCCCAACTCGGGACTTTCCAAACGGGTTTTCGGTAATTCTGGTTTCCTGGATTTATTACGCCGAAGCTCCCATTCAAGATAGTGTGACCAAGATTACAGATATCTGGATCCAACTAATAATCTTAATGTTAACTGATACAGATCTAGTATTTTCAAAATCGTCATCCGTGGGATTCGAACTCTAGACCTGCCGCTTGGGGGTGCAGCAATTCCACCACTTCACTAGGTCGCCGCACCCTTTACCTTATCTTAATTATTATTGACTAAGTTAGAAGAAGTTGTTAGCAAAGTAATTAGCAAAATAATAAAGTATATATTTGCTAAGAACCGAGTTGATAATAAATATTAATCATTAAAGTAGACAAATTAGCTTTAGTAATTCAGTATAGTTTGGCCATTTATGCTGACAACTGGATTAATTGGCTACACTAGTTACTTAGTTTATTAGAAATGGTCCAGTTTACCCTAGTAATAAGTGGGTGATTTTATATTAATATATATATGATTACTTATATGCTTCTATATAGTGGTTTATAAATGTATTCTTTATTTTATTTATTTTATTGTAATTTTATAGAAGAATAATATATAATTTATTTATTTTTAAATTGCATATTTAATATATATATATAATATATATCATGACTTTATATACATATTATTCAAGATCTTGATCTAATTCTTTTAAATTAAATTTATGATCTTCATTCATAGTGACATCGAAATTAATGTTGTCTTTATTAGAGACATACAAATCCTCTACTTGATTAAATGCTCGATGATACAAATCTACAATGTTATTAATAAGAACTACTATTTGATGATTAGAAATTACTAAATCATCATCTAATTCTTTATTATTCACATATTTATAGTCTTCACTTACATCATTTTCATCCTCGGATACCTTAAACAAATAAAACCTTTGAATCATTGCAACTAATTCATCTTTGGTTTTATTTTTCACATTATATAATAGCTCTTTATGCATATTAAGTAAATTATAATATTCAATTTTAGTAAGTAATTCTAAATTTTTTAAACCCAATCATTGTCTTTTTTTATTATAGAACCAACCCAAAATAGAAAAAATGTGTTTATATAACACACTATGTAGAATTATCGCAAAAATTTTTTTGGCCAAAATTTTAAGGTTATCGAACTTATCTTCAATAAAGCTCCACTATATAAAAGGTGTCATCACTTGGCTATCATATTCAACTTTGTACAAAAATTCTTTTTCTTTAAATTTGATAATTTGGGCGATAAGAGTTTGTGCAAATAATTTATCTTTATATCCTATCATTTGCTATAACTATACAGCTTAAAGAGTAATTTGTGTATACATTCTTTTTTTTAAACCAGCGCCTATAAAAAAAAATTCAATTATTAAACATACAAAATATAAATAGACTAAAAATATTATAGAATAATATATATCTCAATATTCAGAATGTAGTATATATGCTAAAATATATAGTTTTGCTTTAAGTGAATTCCAACAATTGTTAACAATTTCTATGCATTGATTTTGAAAGACAATCGTATCTTTTTTTTTTGATATATAAGAAATAGTTGCAATTAAACTAACTAATTGAATAAAACAATCTGCCATTATACAATTTGCTCTTTCTAATTGCAAAATTGTAGCTCTAATTGGAGCAAAAATTTTAGATATTAGTTTCACATTATGAAAAAATCCTCGAGACTTTAAAATTATTCGTACATCTTGGTTGGTAATAGTATCAGGATATTCATTTAAAAACCTTAAAATAATTTAAAATAATTAGTGATAGCACTATATTATATAAGAATAAGTGCTGCAAAAAAAAACTAGCAATTCTTATTTAATAAAAAAAATTATACTTTGTAGCATTTATAAAATCAATTAAATAATTAATTAAAAATCACTTTTTCTAATACAAGTTTAAGTCTAAATACAGAATTAACTGTTTTATATGCAGATGTCTATCTAGTTTTTATAAAAAGTTTCAATCCACCTCTACTAATATTCAATTCATCTATATATCATTTTATATAACTTTTAGCTAAATGGCTAGTTTTAAAAAAACAGCATATTTTATTGCAATATTTTAAAATACATGCTAATAATTTATATTTCAAAATATCATAACTAATAAGATTAACAAAATAAACAATACAATGAAGAGTGATAATGAAAGGATATTTTTAATTGATCTGTCTACATGTAGCAACAATAGCCAAGACATTATTAAAAATTACTCTAATGAATTTTTCAGATCCAATCTTAATTAAAATTTTTTTCAATTTTATTAAAGAGTAAATCTACTGTATGACTAATATAAGACAAATCATGAAGGACATATAAAAATTCCTTATGATCAGGGGTCATTATTAAAAAATTATAAATTGAACACCCTGAGGATTTGTTCAACCATCTAATCTTAAATAAAATAATATAAATTTAATACAATTATATAAGTTAAAGCCTTGTATAGTATAAGTATATTAAAGCTAATTACCAATTGTCAAATTATTTATCATTTTTAAATATTTTTCAGTCTTTCAATTAACTTTAATCACTTCTTCATTTAATAATGTATTAAAAAAATATTCACGAGTAGGTGGTATATATGAAGATTGTAAAGATTTAAGTATATCAATAAATCATGGATTCTCAATTACAGAAAACAGAAGTCCACATATAGCAAAGGCTTTAATAATCATACGGTCAATTGCTTCTTTCTTAGAACTTGCCAAAAATTAATTTTTATTTTCCCAATAATCATTAATACTTGTTTTCTTTTTTTTTTGATTGATTCTTTAAACTAGTTTTTTCTTTTAATAATTGTTACTGAATTGCAATTTCAAAATATTTGCTTCTTATTTTATCATCAAGGCTTTCACCTTCATATTCTTTTGCAAGATATATCTCAAGTTCATTTAAATGCTTACGTCTAAATTGAGTATTGCAATATTTACATAATGCAGAAAAATAGCCAGGTGATTTTAATGAAGTTGCAACAAAATGCTTCCAAACAGGATCTAGTGATCTTCTTCCAGGATGTTTTGGATGTGTTTCATTTTCTGTTTCTCTTTCAGCTTCAGATAAATAATGTGAAGCCATTGAAGATGAATTATATGAAGTCATTATTAAAGTTATAAAAGATAAATTTTGAGAAATTTAAAGGTAGCTTATGTAAAAATAAACAACTTTAAATAAAAAAAAAAAAGTAAAAATAAGTGCCTAAAAAGGTGTGACTTCAAACTATTTTAGCATAAGTCAAGTATATTATGTGAAGATAAATTATACAAAGAATGAATATTTAAAAAAAATCTATTAATAAATAACATTAATGCAATTAATATATAAACAAATTTTAGGAATAGCAAACATGATTATGCTTGAGTCTTATTATTATAAGTTGAATTCGTATTGGTCTCCAAGGTCAAGTTATTAAAAAATAATAGGATTCTATATGAGGCACCAAATAACAGACTATTATTAGCAAATAAATAAATTACAGATACATGTGTATATACTTATATATGCTTATTTAAATTCATATGCTATTTACATGGTATTAATATTAACTTATTATTATCTACATACTTAATTAAGGATTTGGCCATCTATTTGGTCTTCACAACATAGCCAAATAAGTATTAGTTTTGAAAAAAATGTATTTATTAGTTTTTAATTTTTTTTCTTGCTTACAAATTCAAATTTGATTTACTTTATTATATCATTTATTGATCACACTTTAGCTTTTAAATTAATGAATATTATCCCTTAATATGTAAACCAATGCAGGCAAATTTGCCTGCGTTTTTACACTTTTTTAGCTCTGATTTACTTTTTTAAAATGCTAAAATATTTA